TTAGACTACTGCATCTGAAATATACTTTTTTTTATGCATTCGATAAAAATAAATTTTTTGACACATTTTCTCTTAGAAATTATCATCCAAAAATTATTTAGGAGGCGATAGACAATTATATGATAAGATATTACAAATATGTACAAATATATATATATACAAATTTTTTAATTCATAAAGAATAGGTAAATCAATACACAATAGTTGCAAAAAATATTTTTAATGACATTTACTTTACATTATTATATTATAAAATTTAAAATACAGAAAATAAAATTTCGTACATAAGGAAACTTTATTTGACGAAGCCTAATTATTTCTGTACAAAGTCTTACAAGACTTAGAAAGAAATAAAAGTATTAATAATTTTACGAATGTTTTCCATAAATACGCGTGCTTTACTGTATATCTAGATCTAATGTAAAAAAATTAAAGCACTATTAAAAGAAATAGGATTTTCAAATTACCACTAAGGTTTCTGAAGAATTGTTTATTACAAAAATGCGTTGGTGACATGAAGAATCAAATAAATATACGTATCCTGTATTTCAAAACCATTTTTCCGGTTCCCTTACATGATTATATCATGCTATGAGACAAACACCACATTAACACAGGTTGTGCACCTGCTACAAAGAATATAAAATAGATTCTTCTTTTATTACCGGATGCTGTGTACGAACTGTCGTTCCTCGGAAGGACTCTTAACTTCAACGACCGTGTCACGAAAAATGCTAAAGATATACTGCAGTACAGCAAAGTCATATAATAACCGAATGTTCGGAAAACTAACGAAGCTAGCAGGGCCGCGTTAATTCCGACGTATTTATAGCCACAATAAGCCAACAAATCTAATGTCGAGAGACTCGTTTCGAGATGCATGACATAGAGACTTATTAACTGCACTACAATTTCTACGATGTTCCACGCGAGAGCAGAACTAGCTAATGTACTTAATGGAGTGAATCGGTCCTGAATCCCTAATACTAATGCAGCTATAACTATGTATGTCACAAATGCCATAGTTGGAATATACATATCCAGAGCATTTTTCTCAAAGCGTGGTTGCAATGGTATGTCCTGCTCGTACCTGACTGACCAGTCCTGTTGAAGATATTCACAGTTGACTATCGTATACAAATTATTGGATCTAGAAAACTTACTTTCTGAGAAAATGGGAAGAGCAGCAAAGACAGTTTTGTAAGAACGTAGTTTGTATCCACAGCAAAATAGTATTTCAAAGCTGTGACAGGCACATACTTTTCAAATGTTTGACTTCCATATCCCATTAAAGCATTGCCGTATTGCATAGCCACATTTGTAACAACTGGCTCTGCTAATAACTGCGTTGTAAATTGTGGCGTTGAATATTGTTCACTAGGTGGCATAGTTTCAGTAGATGGATAAGTTTGCATTGGCACTGATCTGAATCCATACGACGATGCCTGTTGTTGCGGGATATTAAATCCATATTCTGGCATCATACCGTTGTTCATAGGAACCTATCCACAAAAGTAAAGCTGATAACTCTGTGTACTTGTTATATAATGTACATATAAATACATAGTGCCCATTAATAGATTAATTTTAATATTATAGAGTTATAGTATGTAATTTTACCTGTTGATTATACATGTATGGGTTTTGGGGTATAGACGTTGGAGTTGATAAACCAGCCGACGGATCTAGTATTCTTTTAGGTCTCCCTGTTTCAAATGTTTATTATATAAATAACATAATGAGGCAAAATGTAATCTGGATTTTACTAAATAAATGGATATACTAATCTGAATATATATATATTAAATAAAGAAAACTTAAGTAACATAACCTCTTTGGATCACACTATGTCCTTGTATGTTTTTACGTTATTACAGTTTTATTGAAAGTATTGCATACTAAGAGTTAACATTCGCAGTGTTACTTTAAAATGAACTGATAAATACAAATCATAAATTATATTGACAATATAAAATACGAAACATATTATTCATACTGCTGCTGTTCATACTGCTAAACTTACCCCGACGTGCACTCGAATGATTGTAATTCATTGTTGCAGTTGATCTTCTTAATTAGTAGACAAAAACACCTAATTTTAATGCTACTTTGACAGCCTACGGTTTTAATCCACTACTTGCAGAATGAACATTGAAAACAATTCACGTTATACGTCGCCATACTCCGTTATTCACGAAGAAGTCTCCCCCTACAATGTGCATATGTACATATTATGGTTCTGTCATCTTACACTTTACATATTTATCAAATTACTGCAACATCGAAGATTTTTCTTTTTCTTTTTATTTACGTTAATAAAAATACGTCATTCAATTTGATAATATTTAGAATAGATATTGTAATTTACAGTCGCAAAATATTTTGATAAATTTTATTTATATAACGAATACCTATCTAGACGTAATCAGTAGGGTTAATGACGCTAAATAAAAATGTACTGTTTTACGAAATCAATATTAAATATAAATAAAATAATAATAAAATGCACGCATGAAATTATTTTTAGCAATATAAAATGCAGTTATCAGAAATACATAAACCTATTACAGAATTACAGTAATAATTCGAAATATCTTATTAGATTAGTAAAATATCAAAAAATGTTACCATAATTTACTAATTTTTAATGAAAAAAGAGAAATTCAAGGGGGTACCCGGGTTTGAACCGGGGACCTCTCGATCTGCAGTCGAATGCTCTACCACTGAGCTATACCCCCAATTGGTGTACTGATTTCAAAACTGGTAAATTAGTCGCAAGGAAATTTCTTCCACATCATTTGTTTACATAATCATCTGTTACAGGAATTTCCAAAGGATCAACCCCTCAAAATATATGTTTCATATTTCCTTAACAATCTTGTATACCACACATCTTAATCTTAAAAGAAAACCATTGAGTCCTTAATGGCAAACTAACAAATACTCTATGGTCCTAGCAATTATACATTAACTTTACAGTTTTATATTGAAAAGTTTTTGTACTATTCTTCCGTCGATGTTTAAACACTTTCTTCACTGTATGAACTTATATCTCGCACATTGTCACCAAGTTTCGGCATCTTTCATTACTTTATCATTTCTTCTTTCGTTACTTGTTATCGTCGTTGTTATTCTATTATTTCATGTTCATTATTTAACAGTGATGTAAATTAATTTTACGCGCCGATGGTCGCAATAATTTGAATAAACTAGCGAGTTCTATCCTCCGACGCAGAATTGTGCATTTTCTGTTTCTATTGATACGTCACTGACACAATGGTAACTAAGCAACCCTTACATTAACTGTTCGCAGTATCAGAGGGTTGCCAGTGCGCGTCCCACCCTCGCGTGGTGCGGTTCATAATCAGCAGGTAGAGGGAACCTCGTGGAAGCGTCATTCAGTGTCCTAAACACACCTGAAGGCATACATCGCGCGATGGAAAAAATTCAAAAGTTACCGCTACCATTTTCCCGAAAGTAAGCTTCACGTTAAATCACTTTCCTCGGCAAACGTTTGACATACGCCAAGCTGAACGACTTCTATTTTTCATCAGAAGCGCACGTGTGTAACACATCTATTAAGAAACGATGGTCCTATGCAACCAAGTGCACTGTTTATGACGAACAAACAAATATCGATACACATTCTTACGTTTTCTCTTCTTTTTCATCCTCTGGTACTGCAACAATATATTACTGCCACAAATCCGCAATAGGAAATTCTTCTATCTAGAAAAACTTGAAATTCTCTTAAGGAGTTGAATGAAAATTGTTGCATTAGAACGCATGGACTGCGCGCAAGGGTTCAGAAACATAGTTTAAACGTTTACAGATCGCATCCGATCGTTTTAGAACGGATGGGATCGTGGCAAATACAGATAAGACAATTAGAAAATTGATTTTACCTGTTTATCCGTTGATTGCGCATACAGAACAATTTTCTTTTTTGCGATCGTCATTCACGGATCGAACGTTACCGCGTATTCCGAAACATTTCGAATAAATTCCGTAAGCCCGTGTGAATGAATCATTCTAACAATAGGGTCGTTACTATCGCACCAGTCAATTAACTCTGAAATTGCACTAGATAAGCGGAGACACATGCTTCATATGCGTCACATGCACGTAAAGCACAGGCTATAAACACGGCGTTACATACCATAAATATTAATGCTCCACATACCTGTACAACCACCTACGATTTAATTGAACTTTTATTCTCTTCCTACGACGAACTACCGTACTTGCTATCAGTTTCATATATTTCTTCGACGTGAAATCCGTGCGCGTTTCATTGAACGGTGAAAAGCGGAAACGCGGGGTTCATCAATCAGTCGCGGATAGAAATCAGTTGCCGTTCAATTTTCCGCGACAAGGCAGCTTCGAGAGTGAACGTTTAAATAAATTTCCATTTCATTCTCATTCTGTTCGCGGGAAAAACGCGGATATACGTACGCGGGTACACGCTCGCCTGAACTCTGCATAGTCGTTCCGCTACCGTGCCTTCGGTGTCGATCGCGTTAATCGTAGATGGATCATCGATTCGGTCCCCAATAGACACGATGAGTCGAGCGTTCTCACGGTGTTGGCCGCACGTAATCTTACATGAAACTGGAGATGTTATCATTAAATATTAACGACGCGCCATCACGAAGAGCGAACGGCCTACGCGAATTATTAACGGAGCAATAACGATCGACGTGCGGCACGGTGAATCAACGAAATAACGATTTTCAGTCATCGCCGCGTTAAGGCAACACGTGCACACGTGGGTTCGTTGTACGTGTGTATATATATCATTAAACGTGCGCCACTTTGTTAGGGTCGGCCACTCTGATTCAACACCTCTGACCCGTAACATTGCTTCGCATTTTCCTACCATACAACCCTCTTACGGACATTCTTATCTATTCGAAGCGGCTGCGTTCCATCCAGCGTTGCTTAATTCACGCAGAACTCCGAATCTCCGCCGATAAGACGCGAAATCGCGTATCGAGAACGAAATGCAACAGGGGGGGGGGGGAAGTTCTCGTAAATGGACTTGTTATGCGTTCATAGCGATGATCCAATTTTGGAATACAGAGGAACAGATTAGTAGCGTTTTCCGTTTACTTTTATCGCCGATAGTCTTCTCATTGACGAAATTACTAGACTGCGGATATGATGCATTTACGGCACGAACGAGTAGGTGCAATTTAAAACAGTGTCAGGACTAAGAGAAACGGAGAACGTTGATGCATTCATCCGAGCGTATAAAAATTATTAACGAAAGAAGAAAACTCGTGCTAAGCAGCTATGTCTCGTAACTGATGAAGACCATTTTTATTTCACGTAAAGAACCGCAGTCTATTACTTAATCTACGTAATTGCAATCAGTATGAAAAATCGATGGTTTTAGTTAGCATTTTCGATTCATTGGCCGAATCAAACATCGATTAAGATTGTTCAAATGCTTTCAACTGCACGATTTAATTGAATATTAAAACTGAACTGAAATTGCAGATCGTTCTCATCGATCGCAGCTAAAAAAAATCAATGCAGGAACAATTCAGGTTGTTGTAAAATTCTGTCAAGTTAAATTATAAATTGCAGGCTAATGGGCCACCAAAATGATTGGTCTCTAGAAAAAAAATCAATTTATTCGCGAACGATTTCGTTCCGGTCCCCTGCGTTCCCCCGGCTACTTTTTTCAAATCGATATGTCGCAATTACTGGACGCGCAGTTGCACAAAAAGGGGCTACTATCGTGACGATAATTATTCGTCGCGAGTTCCGACGCTCGAGACGCCGTTAGCGGTGTTGTGTAACACGCGTAACGACGAATTCGGTGGCTCTTTTTTTTTCTTTTCTAAACAAGTATTACAACCGGTAACATCGTCCGTCGCGTGCGGTTCTTCGCAGTCGGAAGAATCGCGGCAAGAATTTGCGTCAGCGCGAAACAGAATCTAGAAGGGATAGATCGTAACTTCAAAACCGCTATCGATTCTCACGTACTGTTGCACACATTATAAACTGGCTTGAAGTCTGGCTCCGCGATAGCGTGACACGTGACGAGAAACAGCCTAAGAACGTAGATAGTGCTGTTTAAGAACGGCAGTAACACCGTTCGAATTGCAGGGGGAAAATTGGCCCGATGACACACATGCCCGTCCGGAACCGATTTTTGCGTTTCACGTGCAGGACGTCGCCTGACAAACCCGGTCCGTCACTGTCGACCGATTCTCGATTCCTTCGGCAAATCAATCATTTAATTCGTCGGAAAGCTGTCGCGCCGGATCATTCTAATCGGACTGCGGATCTTTATGTAAAATTCAAATTCTGCGCATCGATTGCGGCGTACAGGATTTATACGGAAGCTCGTTTCTCGTATAAATAATGCGAAACGGTATTCCCAGATTATACCAAGGTCTTTGCTGTGTGTTCTCTATTTTCACGAAGGGTCCATTACACAGCAAATAAATTAAATCGAACAATTAGATATTTAATCCGCATATTTTTCCCTACGAATTGTGTCGTAAATCAAGTTGGTTCGGTTATAAATGCAAGGGCGTAGCTTCGCGAAATCTGATACTTTAGGCAACTTCGGTTCCCCTCTTCTTTAACTTCAATTTCCGCGAATTGAGCCACGAGAACGAACGTTTGCTCACACGATCCTAAGCTATTAACGAAGCACGAGGAACGGGTAAATCCTTTGACAGCCGCTATATACATATATATACACGTCGTCGCTCCGCGATCATCGTTGACGATAATTTGATTGAGATTTTTCATTTTCGAAATGTACTCGAACCCGACCCGAGCTACCTCGTGGATAGCTTCAAGGACACCCGTCGACAGCCGATGGAAGCAATATCGGTTGGCGCTATCACGCCAGTGGCGTGCACGGCTGTCCAGTGTTAATTTCTTATCAAACTTCTTTTCCCTTGGAAATTAATCGATTCATATCGCTCTATTTCCCGGGCACATACTCGACGGTTGAACGCCCAACTTTCGGATGCGCTCGCTTCTTCCAGCGTTTCCCGGCTTTAGAACCGCGGCGGTAAAGTTTCGTTGATTTTAGGCTCGCGACGACAGAATTGGGTTCCGCGTTCTGTAATTCGTTGCGCGGCGCTTCATCGGAAAATACGAACGCGACCGATCGCGATCAGCATCCTTTTATCAATCGTACTGTTCCTGTTAACGCACGAACCTTTTTTTCATTTCGCTTCAAGCTAACGCAAAGGCGAGATTTCTTTTCGTTCAATCCTTGAAGAATTATAATTATAATATTATAATATAATATTATTATTACAATCCTTATATAATTATATTATTATAATATAATATTGTTATTACAATCCTTATATAATTATAATATTATAATATAATATTGTTATTATAATCCTTACATAATTATAATATTATAATATAATATTGTTATTATAATCCTTACATAATTATAATATTATAATATAATATTGTTATTATAATCCTTACATAATTATAATATTATAATATAATATTGTTATTATAATCCTTACATAATTATAATATTATAATATAATATTGTTATTATAATCCTTACATAATTATAATATTATAATATAATATTGTTATTATAATCCTTACATAATTATAATATTATAATATAATATTGTTATTATAATCCTTACATAATTATAATATTATAATATAATATTGTTATTATAATCCTTACATAATTATAATATTATAATATAATATTGTTATTATAATCCTTACATAATTATAATATTATAATATAATATTGTTATTATAATCCTTACATAATTATAATATTATAATATAATATTGTTATTATAATCCTTACATAATTATAATATTATAATATAATATTGTTATTATAATCCTTACATAATTATAATATTATAATATAATATTGTTATTATAATCCTTACATAATTATAATATTATAATATAATATTGTTATTATAATCCTTACATAATTATAATATTATAATATAATATTGTTATTATAATCCTTACATAATTATAATATTATAATATAATATTGTTATTATAATCCTTACATAATTATAATATTATAATATAATATTGTTATTATAATCCTTACATAATTATAATATTATAATATAATATTGTTATTATAATCCTTACATAATTATAATATTATAATATAATATTGTTATTATAATCCTTACATAATTATAATATTATAATATAATATTGTTATTATAATCCTTACATAATTATAATATTATAATATAATATTGTTATTATAATCCTTACATAATTATAATATTATAATATAATATTGTTATTATAATCCTTACATAATTATAATATTATAATATAATATTGTTATTATAATCCTTACATAATTATAATATTATAATATAATATTGTTATTATAATCCTTACATAATTATAATATTATAATATAATATTGTTATTATAATCCTTACATAATTATAATATTATAATATAATATTGTTATTATAATCCTTACATAATTATAATATTATAATATAATATTGTTATTATAATCCTTACATAATTATAATATTATAATATAATATTGTTATTATAATCCTTACATAATTATAATATTATAATATAATATTGTTATTATAATCCTTACATAATTATAATATTATAATATAATATTGTTATTATAATCCTTACATAATTATAATATTATAATATAATATTGTTATTATAATCCTTACATAATTATAATATTATAATATAATATTGTTATTATAATCCTTACATAATTATAATATTATAATATAATATTGTTATTATAATCCTTACATAATTATAATATTATAATATAATATTGTTATTATAATCCTTACATAATTATAATATTATAATATAATATTGTTATTATAATCCTTCAAGGATTAAACAAAAAGATATTATAATATTATTAGAAAAATATGTTATAATATAACATTATAATAATATTGTAATAATAATAGTTCATTTAATCGATTGGCGCCCTTTAGCACACAATGTAAAAGATGTTAGAAAATATATAGAATGAACCTTTTATGTTATTTTATTCTTTTTATTAGCTGATTTTTAAATGGACGTATTTGTTTATTGATCGAAAAAGAGTTAATCCAAAGCGAATAACAGCTGTGCTTAATTTTGAATCTCCACCGATTCCACAGTTCGCGTAGTAACCAGTTCTCTCGCGATAACTAGGCCTCCAGGCAATTAAAGCGACTGAGACGAATGAGCAGCTGCGCCTTTTAGCATATTCACTTCTTCTCTCGCTGCTTACCACGCTTTACGAAGCATAAATTGCTACTGTGGCTCTTCATTGTCCAAACGTACGTTCGCCATCCAAAGATCGACGATTCAGCGTAAACCGGAGAGTGCAGCATGGATTACGTAAATTTTATTTTACGCATAAAAATATCTGCTGATGTAATTTAACGTCTCACGTCATTCATCGGAACAATTTTATTCAAATGACGATTGCTAAGCGAATTTCATGGATCTCGAGCGAACGCATGTGCAAAAAGACGCAGCGAAATAGAGAATCTATTCGTTCTCATTCGGTTAGATAGATGTAAACGAAAAGGAAATCAAGAAGAAATAATTAAATCTTTAACGCAGATGTCCATGTTATTTTTAATCTAGTAAAATTATTGATGCAAAAAATAAATTTCTGCCAATTTTGAAACGCGACCAAATTTTGAAATTCTTTGTCGCAATGCCTGTTCTATTTGGAATAGAATGAAATCATTGAGGCGGTTCTATTCATCTTCAGACAATCGATAACAAATGAATACAAGTGAAGAAAAGCCGTGAAAAAATGAATACGACAAAATTGATATTCCGTGCATACTGCTTAACGGGGGATCATTTTGTATCCGTGTAAGACAAGGTATAAATATTATTTTTTTCCGTTCGAGGTATATTTATGTATAGAATGCTGTTACATAATATATTTCGGTTCCTATATTAATGCAGAAACAAATTAGAAATAATTGATAAAAGAACATTGTTAGTACAAAAATGCCTGTTTAAAATTCTGTGGACATGTTTTCACCTTCCCTTAACACATATTCGTCCGCATGACGAAAATTCGTCATTTGTATATTACAAAAAATAATTGATTCTTGTTTTTTTAATTCTCATTAAAACCAACAAAGCGTACACCAAAATTCGATCCACCCGGCAGACTAAATTATGATTTACGTAAACATAAATGCGTTAAAATAATGACCGCAGGAAAATTACCGAAAGAATATGCGTCAAGTGTGCTACAATTAATATGATACTATTGCTATTTCGAATAACATCGTTGCTACGGTGAACGGATCGCTGTTTTCATAAATCGGTCGACGAATTTCGGAAATCGGATGACCGTCGACGGTCCGCCGGATCGCGGCGCAAAAGAAGAAACGGTAAAATTCGTCAAGACGCGACCTTGCCGTGAAATCCAGCATAATAGTTCCCTACGGGTGATAGGTGTTGTGGCGTTGGGTTTCTATGGCAGCGAGTGACCTGGTCAGTCCACCACGTGGACAGTAACCGAGCCTTAAATTCGGGTCGAGTTTAGTGATAAGTTCCTGATAGGATCTGCGATCGTGTCGGGCCGTCTTCAGGGAACGAGGCCTCGGTGTCTGTCAGTCAATTATTAACCAAACTATTCTTTACATCGGCCTATAGAATGAGGTTTATTAGAAAACTGGCCGGCCGATCGATACCGCCTTCTCTCGTCCCGGGGACCAGCGAAAAATCTGCACGCGTTCTCATCATCGTTTATTTGTCGCGGCGCGGCCCGTCGTTACGGAATCACCGTTTCCGTATCACTGCGGCCGAGCAGACAACACCTGCCATATCCTTGTATCGGTGATCATTATTGGCGAGGCTTTCTCTCTGTCGGCCGGTCATTCTCAATTACGCAGCGGCTGTGTTTACTCCTGCCGCGGTAACGGTAGCTTAAACCGTTTCGCTCAGACAGTGGAAACGGATACCCGGGAAATTGCACGGTGAAAAAACGGTAGCAAAACCACCGGACATTGTAGAAACCGGCTCCAGACTTCCAGCTGGCCATAGACTGTCGTTTTGAGGATTATAAGTTTGTGCATTTATTCTTTACTAAATTAATTTTTATGAAATTTATATGAGATTTATGAAATTTATGAGATTTATGAGATTTATGAGTTTTATGAGATTTATGAGATTTATGAGATTTATGAAATTTATGAAATTTATGAGATTAATCTAAAGAGAGACTGTTCTTCGTCAGTTCTTCGTTTTCAATAGTTTCCCCACTTGAAGAGACAATTTTTATTCACCGTATGTCTTCATCTATTTTCATTTCTAGATTTTGATAATGGTAAAATAATATTTTATTTCCATTTAGAAGAAAGAATCATATGAAATCTTTGTCATAAGCCTAACCCGTTGTTGTAGCGCAAGGGATTATGAATTGAAAGTACTTTTCACCCTTGAGGATAAGGCTGGAGAAATTGTTCAATGAGCATCTTCTATACAACTGCTGACTTAAATTTTTCTATAGTAACATCTAGAGAAGTTTGTTCCACACGAAGATCCACAATCTAGCAAAATTTTTCGTATCAGCGTGCAACCAAACTTCCTTATCAATAGACCGCGGATTTTATGCATCGATAGCAAGATGAGTAGACATGATTTAAAACGGTGTCAAGAGACTAAGCTCATCGAGTTAGAATGACCGGTTTCACATTTCGTGTCATAAAGTTGGCTGAAATTGTAACAACATTTTTCAGAGAAAATCAATGCATTTTCTTAATCCGATCATACATTTTAATGAAAATAACGAAATAAATGCAGTCCTTTCGCCGTTATAAATCAACAATTGTTTGCTACTTTTAGGGCTCGGTAGGCTTAGCGTTAAAATAAACCGAGAACGTATTAATCCGAACTTGGAAAAATGATCAGAGAAAGAAAAGGACTTCGGCTCTTACGTCGCGCAATCGATGAAGACAATTTTTATTTTGCACAGAGATCCGCCGTCCATTTATAATATTTGCTCGTTTGAAACGTGAAACGAAATTACACGATGTCGCAAAAATCGTGCGATACTAACGCAGAATTCTGTTCGTTTTTTCAAAGAACTGACAGACTTTAGCGAGCGGTGTGGCACCGGACATTCTCTTCGGCGCGATGAGTTCGATCCGTCGACAGGTCGAAAGATGCTACCGCGCGAGATCAGGCTAGCTTCGAACCGGTGCCAGAGACGGGCATGGACACTAAGACTCCGCCAATCCCGTTGAAGGTCCAGGAGAAGCCAAAACCGAAGCAGCCGGAAAGTGTGGCCGACGTGTCTCTGCCCCCGCTGACACCATACAGGAATCATCGACAGAAACAGAAAACCACCGGGACTCAGTGGTCGCGTGATGCACCAACCGCCATACGTTATCAGGATCATCAGAAAAAAAGGCCTTACAGGTACACTTGCTCTCCCTCCCTCCCTCCCTCCCGCACTTCTCGATCGATATGCATTTCTTCCGGCGTTGTTTAGACCGGGTTTCTCTGTTCTCGATTCTGAGTTAACCAATTTTCACGCGCGAAAAATATTACATTTCTTCGCCAGAAATTATCGGAAGACAAAACCAGTCGCTTTTCCCCTGTCTCTCGTTCGAATATCCATTTCTTCTTTCGGAAGGATCACTTTGATAAAACATTGTCGGAGAACAAACTGTTCCAGTATTAATGTGAAACACTTTAAAAAGGATCATTTTGGTGAAATTTCGCCAATGTTCCAACTTATTAATTTTGAACTCCTTAGAAAGGATCATTTTGGTGAAACTTTGATGTTCCAATTATTCGATTATTAATTTTGAATTCTTTGAAAGGGATCATTTTGATGACACATTGGCGAAGTTCAAACTGTTCCAATGTTAATGTGAAACTTTTTAGAAAGCAACATTTTGGCGAAACATTGATGAAGTTCAAGCTGTTATATAAATATTAATTTCGATCTCCTTAGAGAAAGGATCTTTTTGATGAAACTTTGCTGAGGTTCCAATTGTTCGAATATTAATCTGGAGTTCCTTTGTGTGTGAAAAGGATCATTTCGATAAAAAATGAATTAAGTACAAACTACTGAAATATTGATTTCAAACTCCAACAGGATCACTTCTAAGAAAAAAATTGCCGGAGTTAAAGCTACTCGGAAATGAATATCACTTCGATGTAAAATGATTGAAATTCAAACAGCTATAACTCCGCGAAGAAATATCGTACAGCAATCTGCCTAGGCTCATTTTAAAGCGTGAAGTTTTCTCTGTCAGATCATTTTCGTCAAACGTATCCTGTAGCGGAGGCATGAAATTGAAAACATTGTATTTTTCCGTTTTCAAAACTTCTTTAAATCTTTGATTCTATAATTGTTCAACAGTTTCCGTCGTTGTTAACAAATTTCGTTCAAGCCAAAAATTAGCGCGAACTTGAAGATTGAAGCTTCCCCTTTACAGCAATCCCTTCAATTTTAATGCACGATTGTTTCTTTCGAATTGGTCGCACTTTGAATCGAAAATGTGGAAAATAAAATATTATCGAGTATCGATGCTTGAAGCCGAAATAAATGGCGAGTTGACAAAAACAATAATTCATAATGGGGTACTCTACAGTAGAGACTACCTTTCAGCCCCGATTATTTGACAACGGTGAAAAGTTTCCGAATCGTTTGATCGTGGTAGTGAGAAATGATCGTTAATTGTTGCAGAGTGTTGCAAATCGGCGCGACGCCGTTGATGCACGCCTGCCAGCAGGGCGACAGAGCGAGAGTGTTAAGATTGCTGAAGGAGCAGAAAGAGACGATAGGCTACAGGGATCGGACACTGAGGAGTGCTCTGCATTATTGCATGGACGCTGGAACCGGAGGTGCCGTCGCTGCGGCGGCACCGGAACTGGTAAATGCACCCGACGCCGAAGGACACACGCCACTTCATTTAGCAGTTATCGCCGGCGACACACAATTGGTGGCTGTCCTCCTAGCAAATGGTGCCGACGTTAACGCTAAGGACTTGGAGGGGCACAGTGTTCTTCACTGGGCCACTGGTAATTCCTCCTCTTACACCTTTCGCCATATTCCGATCGATGACTCCGACGAAATCCGCCGCGACTCGTTTCTTTTCCAACTTATCATTTGTGACAGACGGCTTGGGACGTTACTATGAAAAATACTTACTCTAAAAAATGCATCTCTCGCATTCGAGCCTATTTCCATTCTGCATCATTCTTTTCGTTTTATACGTAGAAAATTGAGTCTACTTTAGTCTTATCGTTCTTGAAGACGGTCACGAGAACATTCGGACACTTTTTAATACGGAATCAAATATCAAAATATTGGACCAAGTGTCTTGAATTTTGTTTAAACGTTAGAGGAAGAATCGCCAATGAAAAATTAAAAATAACAACGTTAACCGATTAACCACAAACGAGATCTACAAAATGCATTGTTCAAAGGTTAATTATTCGCACGAAGTAAGTAAGAAGATAAGGTAATTATTATTTATTAAGATAAGGTTAATTATTCGCACAGTAAGAAGATAATAGCAAACTCATATTTTTTAACTTCTTCATCTTCTTATTATAACAATCAATTTTGATTTTTTTCAAAAATTTTTCGACGATTGTTTGTAGTAAACGAGACTCTCTAACATTTGAAGAGAATTCAAATCATTTGGCTCAGCGTTTACATATTTATTCCGTGTTCAAACATGTCCGAATATTTTTGCGACTGTACATTTTTTCAAATTCATTATATAAGGTCCTTAAGTATCCTAAAAATCGTTTTCGATAAGGGCGTAGCAATTTTCGACGGTGTCTCAGAGTCATCATCCGATTGCGAAGTTCAATTTTTGGAGCAGCATCCACATTTAAACAGAATTACAATGATTATTTAATACCCTTATTGTTCACTGTTCATCGAATACTTTTCAATAGTTGTCAGAGAAATGAGCCGTTTATTTTGAAAGTGGCATAAGTCTCTTTGTTTTTAAGTCGATATATTTAAGGGTTTGCGTTTTAACACGTTTAAAAATATGGATGCTAACTTTCGAGAAGATTTACTTGTATTTGTTATCTCAGGATACCGATATTTTTCTCAGTATAAATAATTTCGTATAAACATTAAAAAATCATCACTTTTCATTACGGTAAAGTGACTTATGCCACTTTCAAGATAAACGGCTCAAATCGTGAACATTTCAACATCAATGAGCGAAACAGCTCGTGTTGTACGAACACTTTTATTTCTCCATTTCACAACATCCACCGAAACTAAAACTTTTCTTCACGTCGTTTTCGTCGACGCCTGCAATGCGAGACGTTTTAATCGACACTTCAAACCCGACCTCTACTAAAAATATTTCATAGCTAAATCTACCCGCGATTAAAACATTATCAGAGAAACAATTAACCGACACGTTTCCCGGTGCCGCGAAATTTCATCGGCGCCGAAACAATTCCCGAGAAACGCGAACGGCGTGGCGGCGATATGCAGTTTTTACAGCCGGACCACCCAGTCAAGGATCATGACATCATTATGGAAATAAGGGAGAAAAAGATTGGAGTACGCGCGGGAGGCCGAGCCGGCTCGCGAATAAGTAAACTTCGGTGGGGAAAGGTCAGAATCGCGAACGTCGGGAGCTCTAACGATAGTTGAAAAGCTGCGGAAACCGTGAATTACGGGACGGTATCTTTTCTACGGATCTCCGTTGGCGAAACATTGCAGGGGGGAGGGGAGGGGGAGGTCGGTGGAGTATTGGTCAAGTAAGGTTAGTGGGTCAGTTTCGGTGACGACATTCCGGTTCGCCGGTGAACACGCGAGACCCACGCCGAGATAATCCTCGAGATTGACCATAGTCGTCCTTGATGTATTCAAATGACCGAAGATTTATTGCGGACCACCGCGAACGCCCGGTTCAGCGATTCCGCGCCGAGGAAAAAGTTCTCTAATCAGCGGCTGCATCTGTGTAATTCCCGGGCCGTCTCGTGCGAGGACGCAAACAATTCGCGCGGCGAACTTCTTGGAAAGTTCCGCTTCGAGGCCGGCTGATTGCTGCTCCGACACTCTCGGGGTCTAATCGTCTCTTCGACGGATCAAATGCTAAACGACGGTGTCTCACGAGCCGATCTTTTTTTTTCGAGTGATGCCGCGCCCACGGTTATTGATAGGTTCTCACGGCGAATTTAGCGGGGTCGTAAGTCCCGCTTCGCTCGCTCGCGACGATATCGACGTTGAAGATTAAGATCACACCGGTTTCACACGGGGTTTCTTTTAACGCTTTACTTTACTTACCGGGAGCCTATTAATTTTAAGTTATAATTTGTTGTCATATTATACGAAATCAAATAATCGTTTAAATTGCTGTCAATTTTGAAGAATTTTTTAACGAATTCTCAACCGTTGAACTTCGACTTTGGCAAACTGCATAAAATGTTAAAATTGTTGAAATTATAGAGTTCTGTCATTATTATACATATACGGAATTATTTGCTCAAATTTGAAAATTAATTATTGCGCTAATCTATTATAACTTTCCAATTGTTTTGGCGTGAACTTAGAGTAAACTTAGAAATTTAACATTGATTGATACGCTATACAAATGTAACGCAGATTTGGATCGTGATGTTTCAATTGGATCTCTTTTCGATTTCGCTATTTATCGTGTTCTCTTTATTTTCGCTATTTTTCCTATTCCGCCGATTCTAGTTGCGTCATAGGATAGTGGAATCGGGCTACAGACCAATTGCTGCGCCGCGCGCGCGCGCGCCTTTCGGGTATAAATTAACTTCATATTTATCGATTAAAACGTATTCAACTTTGTTATTCTTTTATCTCTGTTTATTCTCGAATAAAACAATTTAATATATCTTTTTAGACTAATACAAGGTTAATCATGCTCGAAAGTGATCACTGTCGAACGTTCTAATTGGTTTGTAGGTGTGTCTGAAATCGTCTTTTAGTCGAAAACGCGAGAAACTGCCATCGGAAGTAGCGTTTCGGAATTTTCCCACGTGACGTCCGTATGTTTGGATTATGATGAAGGCGGTCGTAAACGATTCGAGGCATCGCTGGGCCTCGGCAAACGACATCGACTTACCTCGCGGGAGCCATGTTTCCTCGATCGGCGGATTAGAATTTGCGACAAGTACACCAGTCCATTAACACCTTCGGAAAGGCCGCGGTTTACTATGGCATTCATAACGGAACGTCGCGTGTGCCCCGACATTCATGATTTTATGAATGTCGGAGGACCTTTCGAGATGCTTTACATATTGGTTTCATGACGGATTAGCGTTGCTTAATGTTTTGTTCTTGCAAGAAAACGACCGGTTTGACGGCTTGTTTGTCTTGGTATTTCTTGGTCGAATTATTGCGCTGGGTTCGCAGGGTGGTTGTTGTCGAGAGCATTGTTTGCAAATTTCCTGTTCTAATATATATATATAACTCGCGTGCAACCGAGGCCGGTTATTAATTCGAGAATGCATGAAAAAATGCGCGTTCTCAATTTCCTGTTCTAATATATATATATATATTAATTTATACACGAAAGACACAGCAATTGGTCTGTACCCCGATTCCACTACCCTATGACGCAACTAAAATCGGCGGAATAGGAAAAATAGCGAAAATAAAGAGAACACGATAAATAGCGAAAATAGAGAGAACACGATAAACAGAAAAGTTTATGATGTATACATTTGTTAAGTTTCAAATATAGCGTATCTCGATCAATGTTAAATTTCTAAGTTCACGTCATATATATATTAGAACAGGAAATTTGAAACGCGCATTTTTTCATGCATTCTCGAATTAATAACCGGCCCCGGTTGCACGCGAGTTTTTCATTATTGAGCAGGTTTGCGCAGAGCTTTTTTAAACGGAATCGCCATGACCTTTCATTTCCTTTGCGTTCCAACATGATAATAAATAATTCATGCTACCTTATCTGAAAAACAAGCGACAACAGTTTGCGCGCCGGGTGCGGGTTTCGCGGGCAGACTTTTTCGGAAATAAAATCCCACGGGGTCGGCTGGTGAATTTATTCGTTCGCGAATGAATATTTTTGAATTTGCGATCAGCAATTTCAGCGCTGCGTTTCGCCAGATTTGAAAATAAATTCTGACGTTAACCTGTTCAGCGTGTCGAATCGAGTCGGGAAAATGCAAAATGCATAATGCAACAAGGTTGGAAGAGCGCTCGCCATCGATCCTGCATCAATTTTCATTAAACGAATTGCTCCGAGTTTGTAGAATTTTAGAACACTCACTTTTTTTAACAAAATCGTTTGCGCCGTGAACGCTGATATTTTCTGTCGAGACTCGATGTTTGATTGATGTATTAATAGACTTTCACTCGAATTGCATTCAGTGTGCGGCGAAGCGGAATGCGTTCGCCTGGTGTTAGCAGCAGGAGCTCGTCCTTCGACTCCCGATCTACGCGGAGGATCTCCGCTTCACTATGCAGCTCAGTGTTGTGGTGCGGCGGCTACTGCCGAGCTGGCAGTGCCGAAGAAAGTTGGCCTGAAAGTCCTCCAAACGCTTTTGGAATTTGGAGCAGACGTGAATGCGAAAGATGAAGACGGAAGGCAGCCGATTCTGTGGGCTGCGAGCGCCGGTAGCGTTGAAGCTGTCTTAGCATTGGCTAGGTAAACCTTTGCGCCACCAGATTGATCGGAACTCAGACAAAATCCATCTTTGATAATATTCAGACGCTGGGTATACATCAGAAAACTTCTACGCAGATATTTCTTGATTTTTAACATTGCCTGTTTAACTCCCGGCATCTAAATTCTAATTTACCAGCTGCCGGTTCCGATTATTAACTCTTTGGAGCACGGTGGGATTAAAAATGTCCCATCTTTTTTTTTTGATACACGGTAATGCATTGCGGGACACTTTTAGACCCATCTCGAAATATTGCAATAGCTGCATGCGCATTCACGAGCCCATGTGGCACGGTGGATTGGACTATTTAAGTCCAATCCTATAGCAACAAATTGAATTCAACTATTATTATCTTTTTTATGTGTTTATATTATGCGATTCCTTTGTTAATAAAAAATATACCAATTTCGTTTCATTAAAAACGCAATCGAATGTCTGTGCAACTGTGGGTCTATTTTATTTTCTGAAATCCTGTGCCCCACAAAGAGTTAACCGCTTGAACGTATCGAGATCCAAACATTGAGAACCATCAGCTATCACATTATTTTTCTTGAAACGTGCAAACGTTTTTCACGAACTTTATGAAAGATGATATCTTCATTTTGCACTGTGCAGCTTGAGAATTGATGTGCTCTAAGACCAATGATTAAAATGTAGAGCCGGCGGTTCAGCTGCCGCAGGAGCTGCAGACAAGGATGGCCTCACGGCTCTCCACTGTGCTGCATCCAGAGGACACGCCAGGTGCGTGGAAACTCTGGTGAATATGTGCGGTGCACACCCCGATCATGTCGACGACAATGGTTGCTCGGCGTTGCACTATGCGGCCACCCTCGGCCATGCTGACGCCACAGCTTTGATCCTTAAATTGGGCGCTGATCCTAATCGACAGGATCGCAAGGGTAGAACGTGAGTAGAGCAAAGACAATAATTGAAATTTTAACACTTTTTGCCGTAGAACAGATAGCTAAATTATCTTCCTCGCCCTTGACCCGGCAGTACACGCGTGGAATTCTGAAACGAAAGTACCCACGTGAGGTGCTCGTAGATCTCGAGTAAAAAAGTCGCATTTATTGGTAATGATTGGACTGCGAATCTTCGTGCAAATTCTTCATTTCATGTGTTATTTTACGAAAACCAGAATAAAAGAAAATCTTTCTTCGTCGATTATAAAATTATTCATTGTAAGAGGAAAATGCTGTTAGACCTTGTTAATTTACACATTTTCTCGCATTTTAAACATCTGTACATGCGAAAAATGCATAAAGATCTGCGATTTAATAATAATATATGAATATATCTATATACCAAAATTATAGCACTGCTGGGAAATGAGGAGTTCCTGAGGTCATTTGAAGTAACTTTCTCCTCAGCGAAAATGCAATCCGCGGCTTCGTTTACGAGTTATCAGCGAAAAACATTGACCAATGAGAGGCGAGAGCTCGGCAAACGCTAGGCGGCCAAGCCAACGAGCGGACGAAGCCCGGTTCCGATCATTGACTCGACCGCCTTGCGCGCCAGCTGATCTCGCCCCTCATTGGTCACTGTTTTTCGTTAATAACTCGTAAACGAAGCCGCGGATTGTATTTTCGCTAAGGAAAAAGTTACTTCAAATGATCTCAAGAACCCCCTATTTCTCGGAAATGCCATAATTTTGGGACATATATTTGATATCTCTTTATTCAAATTGAAGTAATATCATTGATATAATGTAAATACGAGAAAGAGATAAGGCGGAGGAGAGCAAGGACCCCCCATTTCTCGGAAATGCCATAATTTTGGGACATATATTTGATATCTCTTTATTCAAATTGAAGTAATATCATTGATATAATGTAAATACGAGAAAGAGATAAGGCGGAGGAGAGCAAGGACCCCCCATTTCTCGGAAATGCCATAATTTTGGGACATATATTTGATATCTCTTTATTCAAATTGAAGTAATATCATTGATATAATGTAAATACGAGAAAGAGATAAGGCGGAGGAGAGCAAGGACCCCCCATTTCTCGGAAATGCCATAATTTTGGGACATATATTTGATATCTCTTTATTCAAATTGAAGTAATATCATTGATATAATGTAAATACGAGAAAGAGATAAGGCGGAGGAGGATTTCCCAATGGCGAGCGGTTCATTTGACCCACAGGTGTGTACTGCCGGGTTAAGAACATGAGAGGGGAGGGGGGGTATTTTTACACAGTATTTTGCGATCGGCTTTTTCATGTTATGAATTATTTTGTTTAATTACATCACGATTCAATAAATTGCAGACCAGCGCTCTGCGCAGCAGCCAAGGGTCAGCTGGAGACCCTGAAGATCCTAGCACAGCATGGCGGCTCTCTATACGCAAGGACAGTGAGAGGAACCGGCGTCGCCCACGAAGCGGTGGCATCTGGCAGAATCGAGCTGATAAAATGGCTGGCGAAAAAACGCCCCGGTACCTTGGACGTGGCCACGCACGATGGAAAGACACCGTTGCACGTAGCTGCTCTGCACGGGCATCTAGATTGCTGCAAAGTCCTTTTGGACAACGGCGCGAGGATCAATGCGGTGCTTCGCACCAGCAAGGGCAACTTGATGACTGCTCTGGACGCTGCGCTTTATAGAGGGCACAGAGACTGCGCTAAATTGATTCAGATGCACGGCGGGACCACGGCGCATCAGCTGAAAATGCAGAAGACCGTACCGAATAAAGGTCAGGTTAGGTACATATACTTGTGACTTTCGTTTATTTTCGTTTCTGCGAGGATAAGTGGCGGCTTCTTGGGAATACGGAATGTCACTGCGGGACCATGCTGAATAGTCTGTGGTCATGGAATATTGTTGGATGTGTGGTTCAAAGTTGCAAAGACGATTTCGCAGATGAAGCTAAGAAAGTTGAATACAATGCTGAGAAAAATAATAGCAGAGAGAAATTTTAGGTAAAATTTGGCCAACTTTGACTAACGTTAACTCCGCGAGAAATCATCGCAGGATGGTGACCGTTTTCTTAAGTTAAAGCTTGAAATCTCTACTTTGAGATGCTGTTTATAGATTTTAAGTTTGTTGCACTCTTGCAACGATAATCCTTTACATGCGAGGCCGTGTTTGTTATATCGACAATTGCCAAGTTTGACGAAACGCATGGTCTTCCTAAAATTTTTTTCGGTGATGCCGTTCACAGTCGAACGAAGTTTCATCCTTCCCCTTTAATTTGAAAAAAGTGGAACATGGCTGTGATTTTTTTTCGCGAAGTTACAGCACTTTACAGTGACCCTTGTATGCAAGGTTAGGTGAGAGTTAGATCAGCGTACAAGGTTACATTGAAATGTTGTAACTTTGTGAAAAAAAATCGCAGCCATGCTGCTCTTTTTTTAAATTAAAGGGGAAGGATGGAGCTTCATTTAACTTACTTAACTTAAACACACAAATATTCCCGTCGACCGGACTTTTAACTTGCAATGCGTGCAGTGTTCGCAGCGAGGCTGCAGATGAGGCACGTGGACAGCAGCACAGACTCTGAAAGCAGCCCTCGTAGGCGAGATCGTGGCCACAAACTTCCGGATCTGTACTACGAAGAGCGATGGATCGAGAAGAGAACACGCCGAAGAGGGAATTTGCGGAAGCTGGTCCGTCAGGACAGTCGCAGTTTCAGCGAGGAGGAGGTCAGACTGTCGAAGTCGTCCTCGAAGAGAGATCCAAGGAGGGCTCGCAGCGAATCGGCACGGTAACGACTGTCCCCATAAGATCGATATCGCGCAGTTAAAACAACCTAATTATTAATTTCATTCGTAATCGTTCTCTTGCTTCAGCTACGAAGAAGACGATACGGATCAGAAGATTCGTAGAAGACGAAGTAAAAAGCGGTCGGCGAAGTCGAAGCGCGACTCCAGCGAGTCTTCCATCGAGTCGGAAAGCTGCGAACCCATTGACGAGCAGGATAAAAGAAGGTCCGAAAGGCGAAAGGAGGTCGGTAAAATGGACAAGAGCAATGGGACCGAGGATAGAGAAGAGTTCAGAAAAGAGGACGAAGAAGAGGAAACGGTGAGCGACGATAGCCTGGAAGTGGTAGTGGTGAAACGGTCCCTAGAGAAGAAGTGTGAGAAGGTAGTATCGGGGAGAAGGTCGAAAACGCCCAGGGAAAGTTCGAAGGAGACGAAGTTCACCAAGACGCACAGAAGCACGAGAAGAAAGCTGAACTCCAGTAGATCGAAGTCGTCCAACAATGGCGACAGTACGACCGATCGGATGCATTCCTCTGACAAAGGCGCGAAAGAGTCACAGTTTCACGAGACAGGCACGCCGAGGACATCCGTCGACGAGGACAAGGACACCCAGGAGAAGATCATCGAAAGTCGATACCGCAGAGACGTGACCGATAGCACCAGCCAGGAGACCGTCGAACGCGTCGTGGTCACCGCTATGGTTCACAAGGATCAGCCTCCGGACACGCCAAAATCCGTTCTGGAGACCTCGAAGGAGGTCACTTTCGACGATAGATTGCGAACGGAGATAATCGAGACGGAGGAAGTGATTAGGGACGTTGGATCCGGTGCTGGCAAAGTGGACGACATCGTGGAGCACAGCGGCGAATCTGGCAGCAGTCTCGTGACGAAGGCAGCCAGCCTGAGGAAGGGCGTGGAGGAGAGGAGGCAGCAGATCACGCAGGAGAAGACGCAGCGTGAAAGCGACAGGAGAAAAAGTGGGGACGAGGGTGGGGGGAAGGACGACGAAGCTAAAAAGGGCACCGACGACGGTGGACAGGACAAGAGAACGGACGAAGGCAAGGAAGAGGACAAAGAGCGGGACGAAGATGAAATAGGTAAGACTCTGGACGAAGTACGGTGTTCTTTTCGCAACTGGCGAAAGATCTCTGCCATAACTGGCAAGATTGCGTCTTCGGACAAGCTCGGCAATCGAGTCAGCGAGCGAAGCAGAAGATTGCAACTTTTCTAATTTTTCAGTCCGTTTTATGAAACTTTCACCATCGTATTCGACTCGTTCTGCTGATTAAACTGACACCAAACACGATACAAATTACGGTTATATTGGGTTGGCAACTAAGTAATTGCCGATTTGTTTAATGAAATAAAGAATTTTCTTTTACTTGGAACGAAGTTTAATCTGTAATGTATTTTCCATTTTGTTCGATGACCTTTTGCCATCTTTCTGACAACTTGAAAATTCCACGCTCGTAGAAAGTCTGATCCTTTTCGGCCAAAAACTGAGTTAAGTGAGATTTTACAGCGTCATCGTCGTTAAAAGTTTTACCACGAAGGGAGTTGTCCAAGGATCGAAATAAGTGGTAATCCGATGGCGCGAGATCAGGGCTATATG